GTCATGTGTTGGACATATCAGATTTTTTTATTGTAAACAAATACATCCAAATGGAATATTATCGCATTTTTAGTCTTCCCTATTAACGTTCGATTTTTAAAAAGATGGGCCATACTCAGAATATAATTTAATCTGACTTGCAATTACTTTTTCATCAATTCGATATTTCCCAATTTTTTAATATCCAATAAACACTTTTTCAATCACTTTTAATTAAATTGTCAAACTCACGTTGAACTCTGAATTTTAAAAAAAAATGGACAATCCTCAGAATACATTTCTAACAGACTTATAATTATTTTTTTATTGTTACATTGGTTGCTTATCTTTTATATAGATGTATAAAAGCACTCGTAGTGAAATTGTCATTCGATCCTTTTTAATTTGAATTTATTTCTAAAAACGGTATACAAATTGGAAATACAAAAGTGAGCAAACATGGGTAAAACATGAATAACAAATGCAGTTTTTGTATTTTTTTTTATTAATTTAATTACTATTTTTTTTTATTTAAAAAACCAATTGATGGGAAAACATGGGCAAACCATGGGCATTCCTCCTACAAATTTTTGTATCATTTTAGCAATGTGGTGCCAACTTCACGGCCCTGTGAAATTATCATCCGATACTTTTTTAATTTGAATTTGAAGCATGCAAATTGGAAAAACTAAAAAATAGGCAAACATTCACAAAATGATGAATAACTAATGCACTTTTCATATTTCATTTCTGTAACTATTTATTTTTTTTTATTTATTTAAATATGTTTTTTTTTAAAATAATTTATTGTCAAACGTGTGCAAACGAAATGATATTATTCTATGGAATTAAACTATCAAAATGTTTACTTTTGTTTGGAAGTTGGCCCGCGAAAATACTTTTTGATATATTTTGAAAACAAAGGGTGGACAAAAAAGTTATTTCATGGGCAATAACGATAGGCAACCTTCTCACAAATTTTTGCATCATTTTTATAATGTTGTGGTGCCAAATTCACAGACCTGATTATTCCAATTTGTAAGTAAAATTATACTATAAGAGGTGAGAATGTTCTCAAAAAACTTCTCACCTCGCGTACTACTTGGAAAGATTATTTAACAATGTAAACAGTACTTTTATATACAATATTTGCCTAGTTTCCGTGAGATGAAGAATAAAAACGATTTTTGTCCATTTTTCGTCACCTTTTTGAAAATCTTCACATTGACATCTCGTGGAATTGAGTGAAAACACTGTACCATTAAGGGCCAGTCTTTTCATATCTGAATAAAGTTGAAAGTAACTACTTACTGATTGACCTATAGGCACATACTTCGATTTTCTCTTACTATACGAAGAATGGTCGCACTGCGCAGCTTTCTGAGTACCTTTTAAAAGGAGATAGAAAACTCCTCCATTTTGAACACTTATTACGTGTTGCCTACATCTTAGCGCAATAGTTTTAGTGGTTATGTTATAATATTTATTAAAGTTAGTCCCCAAAGATATTATTTACGAACCTACACTTTACAAAACCATTAACAAATAATGAATATCTTGGAAACTGCTTTACTTGGATATTTTATGTAAGTTACAGTAACTACTTTAATTATGTTCCTATTGTTGTATTCTAAATGCTTTTTATTTTTCAGATCTCCTAGGAATTTCGAGCACTTAACTTGAACAGTGTTTACAAACCATTAATCAAATTGTTTAGAAATTATTTTTACCTAAACTCTGTTATGTCTGTTCTCAGCATTTTGAGGAAAATGCTTATTGCTCTTATGTAAAAAGGTATGTGATCAATCATGAAGGCAAATACCAAGAAAACTGAATAATTTACTTCAATAGATAGCAGCAGTATTAAAATCAAACGAAATAATATAAATAAATATGTAAGTAATATTGTTTACTTTTTGGAACATTTATATTATAATTGTTTTTATTTATTTTAGGTTTACTACCTCTGGCTCATCTACACACCTGAAAGTAGAGGTAGCCCACAGCCTCACTAAGAAAATAGCCCCTCTGCTAAATAGTTTATGTGGAACAGTTAGAAAATGACCTGTAATTTATAATTTTTTTATTTGGTACAGTAAACTGTGTATAACAATTTCGGATAAATGGACATTCATGAGAAACAAAAGTACCACTAATCCAGGTACATTGATTTTGTACGTTAGACATACACAGGAATCATAAAAGTACCAAAAAGGTCTTTTAGAGCCACCATAATATGTCGACATCCTTTTTACAATATTAAGTCGACGGACTAAGAAAAGCATAGCTAGACTATCAATTGCTATAAAAGCAGAGAGTAAGGAGATATACAAGAGTTTTGAAAGTGTACACTGGCAATCTAATGTTAATACAATTAACAAACTTTTGTGATCTTTGAAAATAAGAATATTGATGGAGGTGATGGCAGTAATACCCATAGGGGTATTTTCTTAAATAGAAAATATTCCGCAATTTCTTAATGTGTAAAAACTTAAAGAAGACTCATTTGTAAATGAACAATACATCTGTTTTAGTTAAAAATTTAACAACTACATATAACTTTAAAAAAAATAACTTACACAAATTCAACGTGTCTGTCTCAGATAAATTATAAGATTAAAACACAAACCAACTATCTTTTCCAGATTGCCTGCAAGAGTATATACCTCTGGTAATATCTTTCAGTTAGAGCTTCTTTAATCTCACATTTCTTTGTTTTTATTTTATAGTTTCGTACCATATTTACAGGTGAAAAAATACAAAATATAAAGGGTGTATCTTATAGTGGTATCCAAAGTTTTTTTTAAATAATTTGACAAACAGTAAATTTTTAAGCTATTGCATAGCTTTTATCGCGGGCATTGAGCGCGGCGACCGAATCAAGAAAAAAAAAACGAAACTGTAACGAAAAAACCTAACACCCCCCATTTCGACCGGCACAGCGGTGTGGCGTTAAACAATATTAACTTCTCATTTATTCAATAAAAGAAAATCGAAATATCGAAAAATCGAAGAATCGAAAAACTGAAAAACTGAAAAATCGAAAAACCAAAAAATCAAAAAAGAAATTCCGTAACGAAAATAAACCTAACACCCCCCACTCCGACCGGCACAGCGGTGCGGCGTTGAAAGCCGTGCATCGTCTAACGTCGTTTCTGTTCGGCAGACTTCTGCACGGTGTTTGTGTGCGTGTAGACTAGCTGCTAACTGCTCATAACTGATTCTATTTCTTTTAGACACAGTTTCGGCCAACATCGGCCAACTGGACGCTACACACAAATTGGCCCGTTTTTCGGCATTTTCCATTACTTTTTGGAGTGTTTTGGGTTGAATGGCAGCGATTTCTCGGCGTATGTTGGCCTTAAGTTGTTGGAGAGTGGCTGGTTTATTGGCGTTAACCTTTCCCTTCAGGTATCCCCACAGGAAAAAGTCAGGTGCGGTCAAATCTGGTGAATGAGCCGGCTTGTCGAAATCGCCGTATTTCGATATCAATCGATTCGGGAACATGGCACGCAATAAATCCATTGCTAGACGGGCTTAATGGCATGTTGCGCCGTCTTGCTGGAACCAATAGTCGCCAATGTCATGTTCGTCCACCTCATTTGCCACAAGATCGCGTAACATGGCCCGATATCGCTCGCCATTGGCTATTACCGTGGCGCCGTTATCGTCTTCCAAAAAGTACGGGCCGATGACCCTTTCAGCACAAACACCGCACCAAACAGTGACTTTGGGGGAATGCAACGGCCCATCGAAGATCATTTGAGGATTTTCAATGCCCCAAAAGCAGGTATTTTGTGTAAATGCCACACAGCGTGAAATGTGCTTCATCGGTCATGATCAAACAGCTCCAAAAATCAGGTTGACCGGCAAGGATGTTCTGCATATTGCGACCGTATTGGATGCGAGGCGGCCTATCAGTTGGCAATCATTGTTGAGTGGTCTGCATTTTGTAAGGAAAGGCGCGCAAATCCACCCTTAACAACCGCCACATTTACATGGTGGACATGCCAAACTGCTGAGCACGGTGTCGGACCGAAACTTGTTGACGCTCCGCGACGTCGGCACTTACGGCTGCTATTGCTTTCATACTTCGTCTGGTACGCGGTTTATTTCGACATACAGAGGTTGCCAAAGATCCTGTGGCATTAAATTTTGCTACCAAAGCACGAATAGTCTTCGGGGTAGGCGCATTCTGGCCACGATACCTCGCTCTAAACGAACGTTGAGTCAGCGTAACAGGAGTTTTTTTAAAAATAAATTTTTACAATTTCAGCACGTTGTTGTGGTGTAAGGTGATTCATTGTTAAAATTGTACTGGACTGGCGTTTCTAAAACATTAACAAACATGGCAATCTGTCACCTGGTTGTCAAGTTATTTGAAAAAAACATCGGGTATTACTATAAGATACACCAAATAATATTAGATTGTTTAGCCTTAAAGATTTTTATTACATTACAAAAATAAAATGTTCATGGGCATGGGACTGGCGAAAAAAAAATATCATAAAATTAAGGTAAAATCATATGCACAGCCTTAGAAATAATTTAAAACCACTCACCTCTATTTCAAGATACACTCGCAATTAAAACTTTACTTCAAAGAAGTTTTTTGTATATTATTTAAAATAAACAAACGTTTCTTTTACATTTGTTGCCTTTATTTAAAATCTCAAAATACCAAGATGTAGGCTACCAGTTTAACATTTTGGAAAAATGTGTTGTCTAACTTAGTAGTAATTGCATCAAAATGGCCGCGCCCTACGTTGGGCGTGTCAGACGTCTCTCTTGCACCGTATAGTAATCAAAGTATGTGCCTACATGTAACTTTACTCAGAGGTGAAAAGATCGTGTGTTGGAATAAAAGAATATTGCAATTGATTGATGTATTAAAGTGTTAAATAATCACTAGTATTTCATGATAAAAAGGGAAGATCGTCGGATCGTCATGTGTTATTCACCATTGCAATAAAGTCAACTATAACCGTCAATATTAATATACATCTAATTATAATATTTACCATTTTTTAATGTTTCTTTTATTTGAGCTGTCTTAAAATCTGTCATAATGTGATGATGTTCGTCTATATTAAATCCTAGTCGTTGAAAACAAACAGCAATTTCATTGACATCTCTTCTGCTTCCCTTTCTTGTTCCCAAAGTTTCATCCTCGTAAGTTTCCTGATTGAAGATCAAAATTAGACCCGGATCATCTCCGTTTCTTTTGTATTCGAATACATCATCTGTTCTAAGATTTCTTCGTTCAACAAATCTTTTCTCCGCTTGAACTAAAAAGAATATATTTATATTAATGTAAATAATCATAATAACAGTATATACTATGGCCGGGAACTGGATCTTTAAAGTTTGAGTTTGGATGTTTATAGCGACGAAGGAGAAAAGACAAGACTTTTGTTAACGAGTATTTTAATGACATTTCACGGCCATGTATCGTACGTATCATATATTCCTATTAAAATTTTTTAAAAAATATTAAAAAAATAGGTATATTAATTTTTTTGTACCATTAAAATTGGAATTTTTATCTCAGGCACTTAAATATAATAAACATTTGGTCGTTCAGACGTTAACAAAACATTTCAAATCAATTAATTTTGTTTAACAATAAAGTACCATTACCAACTGTACTTCTAGCCATTAACAAAGCGAGTAAACGCACCCATACGTGCTTCAAAATTAAGTGAAATACTTTACCCTCCTGTTCCATATTTAGCCTATAAAAACAGATTTATAAGACTTTCAGCTATTTTAACGCGCCTGTCATTACTAAGATTAATTTCAGTTTTCAAATTTGACAATAGATCCCCAAAAGCTTTCGGCCTTTTCAAACATATTACCTAATTTAATAGAAATTCAGTGTGTTCCTCAGTTCCTCTCTTCTTTCAGTATGTGATTTTATAGGAGTAGGTGCAGGTTTTGACAAGTATTTAGACAGCTTTGAGAAAATACAAGGGGAATGCATTTGGTTTATGCTTAACTTTTATTTTTAATTAATTTCCATCGGGTTGCAAATAATTATCATTTTATATAATTTCACTTTTAGGAAAGTGTTTACAACAAACCGCTTTTAAAGGAATAAAGTTAGCCCTAGAAACTGCATTTAACCATTATTGTCTTAAAATATCGTTCTTCACCCTGTTCTTGTTTTAAAACATTATTATAATTTGACTTAAAGTCAAGAATATAGTAGGTATAAAATATTACAGCTATTATCTATCTTATAACCGGTTAACAACGGGCCACCAGACACTTTCTAACACTTATTTTAATTAAATGATTAAAAGTCTGGTTAACACACCACGGGAATATATATCAAATACAGATATTACGCGACCCGTTACTTAATTTCAGCAAGAGTACACAGTTTATCACACAGAAAAATTTACGAATTTTCAGCTCTATATTAATACACACTTTTAACAACTAATCAAAGAAAAAATGTTTTTAATTTCACTTAATCTGAATTGATTTTAGAAAAAAAATCGGAAAAGCAACACGTTACGCCTTGAAAGTGAAATGGACTCGATCGCCACGTTGCCAGATTTATCTTTGCCAGGCTAAAAGTAGAGTCAGTAATGCCATTACTATCGGAAAGACGGTACATGTACTAAAATTTATGTGATGGCGGTTTCGCCAAATACAAACGAGAGGGAAATATTGAGTACAGTAGGCCGCCAAAATAACTTATTTCACCTTGAGTAGGATACACATGAAACGTTTTTGCGTCTTCGTTTGGATAGATTTCTGTTAATTTGGGGAACCACCCAATCAGTACGCCGTAAGTTGTGACAGTCACTATATTTTTCTTTAGTTTATTTATAAAAATGTCTAATCTAAGATAAAATATAAAATCGGGCTCTCCATTCTTTCATTATAATTTAATTCGTTATCCTCTGTGTCGACCGTCGCTTGTTAGGAATTAATAAAATACATCGTTGGTGATAGTCCGAGAAAATTAGCCTTTCGTAAGAGAGGCAACTCCTGCAAATATTGTAGGCTGGTTTTAACGACGGAACTTCTTAGAGCCGAAGTAATAGTTGAATTCCCCACTTTATATCGAATACCGTTTTGCGAGTTCTGACGGTTGCGTAAGCGAAGCAAATCCAGCATTATAATTGTAGTCTTACTTCGCCGCCGACTTAATTTATCAACATCCATGGTGTACCGAGTCATTAGACTCTTCACTACTCCAGCAAATAGTTGAAACTTTAATTTACGAATTACCGTCGATCACGAGGTAAAGTTATTCCCTTATCCGTCACCACATCAATTGTAGTAAACCGCATCCCTCTAATAATCCTTCAATAAGTGATTTTTTGTGGCCACTATAAAATTGTGTTTTTGAATTATTTGCGAGATCAGTGTCTTAAAGCGTAGTGTGGTGGCACTCTTTTAATTAAAATTGGAAATTGTGTTTCTTGAACGAACAAAATTATTCTATTTTAAATGAAATTATTGTATTGTCAAATAATATATCTAGGGTTCATGTACTATAGGTAAAATAGATAAAGAATTAATCATTTAGTAAAAAATATTTATCTCATAAAATTAAATTATTTTAATTTTTCAAATTAATGTTTAGTTTATTTAAATATATCATTTCTAAAGAGAAAGTATAAATTCAGGTTACTTAATTATTTGATACTTTTATGGAAATTCGTTGAATTTGCAAAAACAGCAGTAAATTTGGTTTGGAAGAGCATCCATCATCCCTTTCAGAATGGTGTACCCTTGGTGAGTTAGTTAATGTGTAATTTTTATTTTTACTTTTAATCAATAAAGATTGTCTTTTTACATTAATACTTTATTTAGCCAATAAATAGTTTTAATTGATATGTTGTTTCATTAAAAGTTCTATAATCTAGCTACAATTAACCCCTGAAAAATGCTTTCGAAACACTCCTGAAAATCTACAATAGGATATGGACAGAAAACATATTCCCAGACGAATGGAGAAAATATATTATCATCCCAATTTTAAAAACAGGAAAGAACAAACTTTACCGGATTCTTATAGGCCAATCTCAGTGACCTGCACAATGTGCAAAGTACTCGAAATAATTGTTAATAACATGCTTGTATGGCAACTGGAATAATACCAACTGATTTGTTGCTAGTAAAGTGGTTTTCGAAAACAAAGAAGTACCATAGATAATAGCCTAGATTTAGAGAGCGATATTCACGAAGCTTTAGCAAATAAACAAAAATGTTAAACCATTTTCTTCGACATAACAAAAGCGTTTGACACTGTAAAGAGAATAAATATTTTACACACATTGAAGCAATAGAATATCGAAAAAAACAAGCTTGCTTTTATTAAAAATTTTCTTTACAAATGAAGTTTTCAAGTAAGAATAAATGGCACTTTATCGACAAACAAATTACAAGAAAATGGAATACCGCAAGGCTCTGTAATAAGCCCTACCCTTTTTTTGATTGTTATTAATAACGAGGCGTTTTAGCCACTAATTTCGGCGAATTTTAAAAAATCATTAACAAGAGAATAATAGCTTAAATTTGGGGATTATATTAGGAATACTGATGTTGAAGAATGCATTTATTTTCATTATGATATTTCAAAATTTAAAGCCCTTTGATTTTTTTCATGGAAACTGAAAATAATTAAAACTTTAAAATATAAGCATATTCTAAATATTATTGCTTAATTTATTTTGCCAAAAATTTAACTTTAAAAAAAATTACTTTTTGAGATATGCTTGTCCGAAAATTATAAGGGGGTGCTGTACTCACCTCAACAAAGGAATATTTTATCGTTTTTGTATAAAAGGATCAGGTAGAAATAAGCTTCGGTAAAACTAGAATTTTTAGTTTGTTGCAATTATCGACTTCTTGAATAATAGTGTGGATACAATTTAATCCTATCAATAGTTTTTAATATACATGTTGTTAAAGATGCAAGTGGGTTGATTTAAAAAAAATGTCTTTATTTCTAGATCACAGATAATTAAAAAAAAAATAATGCTCAAAGAATATTTTCAGAGTATAATATGAAGCAAATTATTATTAGTTAGGTACAGTGTGAGTAACAAATTAATTTGACTTGTGATTATTCTTCAAATAATATCATGCTGAAATAAGGTTTGTGGTCGTTTATTAACACGCGACGAAAAACAGATAAAATAAAAATATACAAAAATAGCAAACAATGTCTACCTAGTTTCTTACTCATTCTGTATGAAATGTTTTGTTTTTTGATTAATTAAACTGAGGCTATTTCTGTGTGATGTTAAGTCGAAAAATATTCCAAATTGCAATGCTAAAGTAAAAATAAAAATTAAATTTTTAATAATTTTGTGACTCACCCTAGAACTAATAATATAAATATACCTTGACCTTACTCTTTATATTTTACTGTTTCCAATGTTCTCTTCCTGATAATAAACAACAAGCAGATCAATTATAGATAGCAGTTATAATGCAGCATTGGAAAATAATTAGGACACCATAAAATATACATGGTTTGTTCTTTTGTTATATTTATTTTATTTTAAAACAAAATTATTAGAAACATTTACAAAGTTTGGAGCCAAAAACTTCTCCACAATATCTTCTGTGTGCCTGATGGGAAACTATCAGTCAAGGGTTACTTTATTTTGAAAGTAGTTTAATGTTCATACATTTACAATATAAACAAAATTTTCATCAGTACATAAGTAAATGAATCAATATGTCATCCAAATATTTTTTTATTAGGAAATGAAACCATTTCTGACACAATATAACTGATTAAAGTTTTAAAAATTGGACAAAGAAATACACTTCACTTTTGGTCAATATCTTACTTACTTGGAGTGGTTTCTTTTTCGAAGTTAAACTGCCTCTGTTGAGAAGTCGCTGGCACAACGCTTGAAGGAGAAGGAGTTTTAAGTGTTTGAACCCTAAAGAGTACTGCGTCAGTTTGTGTTGTCATTTTTCTCGAAATTACAACCGATTCCAATTTAATATACCACAAACTTTATCATTTTCTTTGAGACCAGACAATGTGACGAATTCTTGGAAATGATATCGATATCTAATCTAATCGGCATGAATAATCAAAAGTACTAGGCTGCAATCAAGTTTATCTAAGGTAAAATTAATCGAGCCTAAACACAAAGGGGCTCACTATGGTTTTCATTTTTTTAAGCTGATTATTCGCACGTGCATGCAGTGGCGTAGGTATCAGCTCCCCTCTCTACCAACAAGGTGCTACAAGAAAAGTAATGATTTATAATATATATGGGTATTATGTTAAAAGATAGTTGCTTCCCATAAGATACGTGTTATTAAAATGTTACCACAAGGCGGGGCTTAAAAGACATTTAAGCAGGGTCGCATTCTGGTCCAATTAAAGTCGCGTGTACAGAATTAGAAGTTTTAAATGAGTAATATAATTAAAATTTGTTTTAACAAATAATCCATAGCTCATCGGAAATTAATATTATTTATTTATGGCGCAACCGTGATTTTTACACTATTTATTCACCGTTTTCTCTCTGAATGCTCATGCAACAATGGATCAATACCACCTCTAATTTAAACCATAGAGATGGTTCCAAGTTTAGGGACAAATTCAAAACGTATTCCCCAAATCAACGGTGAAATAAATACTACTCCCGACGAGAAAAACTTAACACACATTACACACCTTGAGCCATTTTGAAAACCCCTGACAACCTCTACTTTGACAACATCTTTCGACATGAGACCGAACTCAATGTCCATTAGACACTTGCTGCTACAGTCCCGCTTTTGGATGTCGAAAACCCTCTCACCGCCCCATTCACCCTTCATGACACCCAATACGCATATCAATGAGGCAAAAACACGACCTCTGGGCCCGATTCCATACACAGAAGAACGCCGAAACATCGTCCTGAAACCATGTTTCCTATCCTGAACGCATGCGTCTGTTATTCTTACTTTCCACTTACCTGAAAATCCGTCAACACTATTTTAATTCCCAAACCAGACAAGGATTCCAAATCCTTAGACTCTCTCATATCAGTACTAGGTAATCTCTTTGAATATGAGCTTCAGAAAAGAATCTGGTACTTTTGTGAGGAACGAAACATAATTGCTCAATCCCAACACCGTTTCAGACCTCATCATTACACTCCTCAGTTCATATTACTGCGGTCACTTCAGTAAACTTTACAAATCTTCTCAACCATTCTTCTCGATGTTCAACAAACCTTTGACCAAGTCTGGCATACTGGACTATGGTACATTGCTTCTTTCGATGATTGTTGGATACTGACCCCTGGAATGTTTACAGGCCTAACAACAAGGCCGCCCACCTAAGTCCACATAAGAACACTGCATAATAAACAAAGTTAGAAGAGATTTATCATCAACCACTCAAGTTTTGGAGCCCAAATTTAAGAACTGAAGGATACCTTTCTTACTGCAGGAAGAACAACACCACCAGCTGCAGAACAGCACTAGTGATCACAGAACACCGGCCCAACACCAGGCCCTGCAGCTTCCAGAGAGACCGCCCAGCCGACGTCGTGAAGGTTGAGAAGGGAAGTTTCGAAACATAACTTTTACCTATCACCATAGAGCTATAGATTGTATCTTAGAATAATAAAAACACTATTTATCTAATATTTTTATTATTTACCTATTGAACCACAATTGTTGTGCACATTATACATTTTTTCATGTTCACAAAAGGTACAGTTGGTATTTTCTGTTCCTAAAATACCTCGCGTCCTTATTTCTTGTTGCCGTCCTTTTCGTACTAGTTACTAGTAGCAAAAATTCCTCTGTTAATCCAAAGCAGTGAAAACCCACTCCCTTTGAGCTTGTTGTGAACTTACAGTTCAATTTGTTTTTTTGCATTTTTTTTATCAATCAAAAATTAATTATATTTCTTTGTGAAATTTCTTTTTCATAAATATCTATGGTGTTTCATAATATATGCGCAGGACTTCAGGACGTGATAGCTCGTCCAAAAATATGAAAAAAGTTTCTATTAACTTACCCTCTAAAATGCACCATTTTCGAGATACAGGGTGTTGAAATTAAAAAAAAAAATCTACGCCACTGGAAAAAGTACGGTTTTGAGACGCCTATTTGAACCGCCAATGTTTTCTACACAAAAAAGGTACTTTTGATCATACGCTCTAAAGTCAACCGATTTCGAGAAAAATAAAATTTTAATGTTGAACCATGGCGGTTCAAATGGGCGTCTCAAAACCGTACTTTATCCAGTGGCGTAGAATTTTTTTTTCAATTTTAACACCCTATATCTCGAAAATGGTGCATTTTAGAGGGTAAGTTAATAGAAACGTTTTTTCATATTTTTGGACGAGCTATCACGTCCTGAAGTCCTGCGCATATATTATGAAATACCCTGTATATTTTCGTTTCTTCCCCCTTTTTTTTTAATTTTTAATATTAATTCATCTTTCACAAAAAATTTTTTTTTATTAATTTCGTTATAATTAGTCAAAAAGCTTATGAACATAGGTCTCTCTCTCTCTCAATATTTCCAAACTTATACACTCATACCTCACTGACAGAACTATCACAGTCGAAGTAGGCAACGTCCTGTTAGATGAAAGACATTACAACTAAGAGATCAAATGCGCTAGTTCAGTGTGATGTCATTTTGGTTCCACTGACATTTAATTCTAACCAAACTTTTAACAAAAACATCAATAAATTTGACATATACGTTTTTACTGTTTTTATTTTATCTCAAAATATTGTTTACAGGTCATAAAAATAGTTTAAAGGTATGTAATTGGTAACTAAACGATTGTATATTTGATACATGCTATCTACATACTTTAGGAATATATTTATAAAAGTGAAAAAAACGATATAATTTAGGTAAACAAAACGAACAAAATGCACTCAATAATCTACTGTCACTTTAATTGTCAGTGGAACCATAATTACATCATCACTGAACTAGCCTTCGAGCATATATATTTCATAGAGTCCGCATTCAACAGAGTTTGTTTGGGTTATGAGGGGTAATAGGTAGACAATATTTTCAGTGTCGCATCATTTTTACGGGGTTTGCAATTAATATAAATAATAAATTTGATATATACCTTTAAAATTCTTTAAATTATTCACATATTTTATAAACTTGCATTATTTAATTAGGTATCTAGTAATAGTAAATTATTATTATTATTATTATTTATTATTGTGTGGACACATCAGATTTTTTTAATTAAAACATCAGAAAGTGTAATACGGAAAAATGAAGGTTGAAATAATAGGCAATAAAAAGATAAAGAGCTTATATTTAAAAATCAAAAATATAAATAAATATTAGGTATAATATAAAAATATTTATGTATCTATTAACACACGTGTACGAGAATTAGAATAAAATAATTTTTTCCAATAATTTATTAAACATAAAAATATTGTTCGTAAACAATGTTCAATAGATTACTAAACGATATACTACAAATAGAAATCATGCTAATACTTAGGTACATTTGCACTGCCAAACAAATAAGTGAAGCTTAATTTTTATCGGTAAACTGTCTTAAGCTTCGATTATTTCTTAATGACTAGGAGTACAAATAAAAGAAGCTTAAAATTACTTTTTTAATGAAAAAATCACATAGGCTTTGCTTATTTCTTAACGACTAGCAGTCTACTTAATTAAAGAACATAGGCATATTTAATAAAAAATATTGATTGTCAATTTTTGTGATTTATAAAAAATATAGTTAGTAATAGGTAAGTATTTGAAAATAAAATTTATGTTGTATTAAAAAGTACTTATTTACTTATTGCTTTCTAATTCTGAATTTTCTTTTTCTGAAACAGAGGCTTCATGGTTTAGATCATGACTGAAAAATTAAACGATTAACGATTAATCTACAAGTGCAGGGTTCTTTAGCTTTCAGTTTCATCTTCTTCTAGGACCTCAGTAAGTCTTGATGGCAATGCACCTGAAATTAATCTAGTTTTTCCTCCGCATCCAGTCTTTGACATAAACTTATGCCCACAAAAATTATTGGAACATAAAACATCACTATTTGAAATGTTGTCTGAAGTAAATTTCAATACGTTTCATCAGATGCGTTTTTCGGCAGGATTAGTTGGAAAAATTATTGATTTAACTTCTTCAACATTATCATGATAAAATGAGTCCAAAATCTAAAACAATATTCCTCATACATAATACAAGTTCTTTAAATTTAATTCACTAAATTTACCATTTATTTTAAATTCATGTTTAACGGCCTTTTGCATAAAATGTAGGTACTTATGTCTCTTTTAAAAAAATGGTAGAGAGGCTAATGGTTACTTACTTATAAAATGACCTTGACGATGCCTTTTCGTATTTCTATTTAAAACTTACAAAAACTCTCACCATTGTTAAAATTTGTATCACTAAAGTAATAAAATACAAAAAATCACTTATAAATTACAAAAATTAGCTAGAAATTAATGAAAGTCACAAATTAAATGACAGTTCTGACAATTTCGAACGATTTGACATGCCAAGCAAAACGAAACAGACCAATGGGAATGCTGGACACTATATTTCCCCCCTGTACCAAAACAAAGTCCATTTGGACGATGGCTCTAGTAATTTACAGTGAGCATCTTAAGTCTTACCCCCCCTAACTAACTCGTTACTGGGGTCTTGTTAGGAAAATCGCCGAGACAGGTCGATTTTAAATTTCTACAATGTACATTTTTGCATGATTAGTTAACCCTTAATTTCATCCCTTACTGGAGGGTAAAAACCCTTTCGAAAAATTTAAATGGCATGGGGTGGTGAGTGATAGCTCATTTGAAAGGGGGTTTTATTCTCTATTTAACCGTGCAAAATTTTTTTGAAATTTGCATCATTACATGTTGATTTATTAATGTTTAAAAATAACAAAACCTCACAAAATAGGAAAGCAACTAGACTAACAGTGACCTTCTAATGGCAAAAAG